GACCGAAATTATTAATAATATATACAATGATTCTTATAAATATACAATAGATATATAATACATACAAAATCAATAGAGAATATTCAATTCCCCAGTATTGGTAGCGTAAACCAATCCTTGTCCAGGCCGTGGTACCCATCGAATGCAATTTAAACTTGAATTATTAGGGATCTGTCTGTTGTCCTGTAATAATTTTCGGATGAGCACAATTCCATCGGACGTCTGGTCCTCGTTTTGATTTTCCTTGTCTATCAATTGATAAATCAGAGCCATGGAAATCGGTTTCGTTCGATTAGGTTCCCATGCAAGACCCACCAACAAATGCTGTTGCGTTGGGGAAATCGACACAGAAACCGCAGATTCATTGTATATGTGCGTAGAATAAATTCTGTCCCCTAATGATTCCCATTGCAAACTGTAACCTTCTAAAAGAATCATGTCGCATCGGATGTACACGTGATTTGTATCAAATAATTAATCCAATTACCTATGAAAACTAAAAACTAACAAATTCAGTGGATTATTTACCTAAAATATTTTTCCAGTCGAGTCTACCACACGGGAACAGAGTCGTCAATAACTTTCCATCTGAAGAAATGTCTATGGTGGCATCATTGCGAATGTTACAATGTTGGACAACAATATTCTTCCTGTCTGAAATAGGTGAACATTAAAACATAAAGATTAAAAGTCCGTTCTATGTAGCGTACAAGGTACTAACAATTATAAATATCAGGTGTTTCCCCGTTAGAAAAGTCCCACGCTTGAACACGATGACTTTTAACTTCGAAAGCATTAAAAGGTCGACATACAGGCGCATAATCATCTGGTACATCTAAAAAAAGTATTTCGCAATTCATTTAATCCCATATTTTCGATAATAATATTTACAGTTACATTTTGGAAATTATTTTTTAACTTCAGTGGTACTCGCGTCGACATTTTTTATTCCTACTACGCCCAAAGAAAATGGGACGACATAAATCTAAGAAAATTCGTTGCAGAGCGCGAATTCTCTTCGTTAGGGAAAAAATGTTCTGTACTTGAATTCAGCGATAGACTTCTGAATTCGGTATTTTCGCTGGTCAATCCATTAGCGCTCCTATCATTCATTATTCGTCTTTTCCTGTCGAGCGGCTCACCTGAAAGTATACGGCTGCAAACCGAAAACTTCGTTTATAAACTCAATTAGAGACAGAATCGATACTTTGTCCATTAAATGAATATCTAGAAATTTGTTACTGATACCGTACATCAGAAAACGCAGAAAATTAAATGCTTAGTCTAAATGAACGTACCGCATATTCGCAATGCCTGTGATTAGTTTCCTTCCCAAATTATCAAATGCCACGTATCTATAATCCACAATATACAATGAAGTAATTACCGTCAGTCGGATAATAATAAATTTGATTGAATCAAGTATAACGAATGGAAATTTAGTAATCTACAATTTAGTCCAACACACCTTACTTTTTCTTCATGAGTTCTGGTAGTCGCTACATCGTAAGGTTCAGGCGCGGTCCAGTCCCAAAAATATAACGCGTTACATGTTGCTATAACAAGTAATCTTTTGGTCGGGTGAAAGGCAAGAGACGCTATGATTGTCTGATTTTCGGTATTCCAAACTTTGCTGCCATCCTATTTTGATCAAATGTATGGATTAATAATAACTATTGAAATATTTTCTTGGGCAAAGATATTTTTACAGTTAAATGAATACTAACGCTTAAATCCCAAACACGAACTTGACCGCCTAAACAACCGGAAGCTAAAATTTCACTGGAGGAAGGATGAAACGCGATGCACCACGGGGTACGTGGATGACCAGAAAGCGTTCTAATATGTTTCCCAGTTGTAACTTCGGTAATATAAACATTATGGTTCCCATGTGTTGATGCCATTTTGGTTCTGAAATTAAATTGTACGTACAGATTTACAGCACGATTTCTGGAACTTTTAAATTGTTACGTATAAAATCAGTTCTCACCCGTCAGGGCTGAAAACCATTAAAAACGTTGCTTTAGGAATCCCAGGTAATTCGCATTTCTATAAAAGAATCGATGTTAGCAAGATTTATAACTCCGATAGTAAAAAATACTTTTAGAGAAAAAAGATGCGCTTACCAATTCTTTATGATTCTTCAGAACAAGATTTGTTTCGGCTATTAATTCCAATTGCGCGCTAGGTTTATGTACCGTGCAAAATCCAAAGTCTCTGAGCATTAAATTGCGCAACACATTCTGCGATTTACTGCAATGGAGCAGTTCCAATCTTTTTTTGGCTTTCTCCATTGACCAAGATTGTCCTGTAATATTTGCAACTGTTGTTAGTGACACAATAAATGTTTGATAAAAGGAAAAGTCATACATGACACCTGTTGCAAACACACACAACTATACAATGAAACTTCATTCACACATGCTACAAATGCACAAGATTTGGAGTTCATTAGCGACAAATATTTAGATACATTGTAAAAAGATTATATTTATTATTTACTTGTTTATAATAAATCCGTATTCCCACACTTTTTCATTATCATCTTACGTATCGCAACTACTCCATTTTTACCGTATATTTACATTTTTTTGTCTTTTGCGTGTCGGCCAACGATAAACAGACATTACACACGATCCCAATGAAAATAATAGAGTTTAAAAATTGAGAAAATTTCAAAGACACCAACTGTTTGGTAGCTAACAGTTGCGAACGGTTACATACCTGAGGATGTTTTCGAATGAAATTGTCGACGTCGAAAAATATCAACCCTTCACGTCGAATGACTTGAATCGTCGCGAGCTTAGCGGGATAATTTCATTTCGAAATGTTCTCTTTCATCGAGCAATGCCAAACATTTCCCTCGCATCGGACATTGAACACAAAACACACGGTCGACGCTGTATACCTGTCGGTACGACGACACAGTGATCAATAAAACGGTAAACATTTGCGAACAAAATCCGTGAATCTTAGAAAAATATTAATAATTGTCCGCGTACCTGCGGACACGCCCACGTTAAATTAAAAACAATTTTCATACTCCAAACGTATCCACTCACGATTCGATAAAAGACTTTGTCCGCACTACCACAACGATACGAAAAGGCGCCAAGAAGCACTTGCTTCAATCGGATCTGTTCAACCGACCATGAACCTATCCAGGTCGACCGCGGGTAAAACTATGCTGAAAACGGCGGGAAAACTTACGTCACGGAAAATGGCGGCAAATAACATTCGTAATATGTCTGAAAAAAAGGGAATATTTTCACCTAACATTATATGTACAGTTTTTATTATTGTTATTAATAATAAATAAATCCGTCAAGATTTTATGTTTACAGATTTTCGTTTACTTCTGAACGTAGAATAGAATTTGAAATTCCTTTGCGGATTAATTATATCTTTGAGTCCTGTTCCACGGACTTTCGGTTAAACAGACTTTTGAAATTGGAGCGAAACACAACGGCACGTTTAGCCATGTGACTTATTTCCTATTAGTCCGTTTCATTTTGAATAGGGTTATAATTGTTCTTAATAGATTCACGTGAAATTTTTCCGATTATAGTTTTATTAGTCTTGTACTGTAGACACGCGGTATATTGTTTTTTACCCTGACTTGAATTGAATGACAAAAATTGATCTGAACTGTAATGAAATATATAATTGAATCGGTTGGAACAAGGAATTTAATAATAATTTTAATTGTTACCTTACAATTCATAATTTTCATTGAACTATTTCTGAAACAATGAAACAAATAAATATACGTGTATACATATAAAGAAGGATAAAGAAATAAAAAGAGCGAATATTTTAAACAACATGAAATTTGACTATAATTTTAGTATCTTCTTACTGCTACATCGAAAATAGTATACATATACCTTCATGTTACAAATTTAAATTATTTTGCTTGAAAATTCATTTTATGTTTTTTGTTTTTATGTACAATCGTAACATGTTCTTGTTTAAGACACGATTAAATTTTTCATATTAAACGAACATACATTATGCGCATTTCTCTTCGATCTCTCTTTCAACTAATAACAGTCAAACACACTCTTTCTATGACGGATCATTTAATGATCCAAAATACGAAGATTGCCAGAAACTATTTTGTTCTCTAAGATCGTGCCTGACGGGAGATCAATGCGTTCTCCGTGGTTTGCAATGATAATAACCGTTCCCTTCAGAGTTACACCTTTACCGAAAGTAACATCACCTGACACCGTCAAATGATCCAGCTCCAAAAGGTCTGGTATAGTTGGGAATCTGGTGAGAAACTCTTTGACCTGGAAAAGTTTTCCCCATTAATTAATCACGGATCGTTCATTCGAGAAGATTAATCAGAGTCGTATGAAATATGAGAAAAATAAACACCTTGGAGAAATGGTTACCGCCTAATTTTATAAGGGGTGTTGTGGGGAACATTCGTTGAGGACTCATTACTAAGGAACCATTGCGAAGAGTATACAAATTACTCATAACAAGCATTAAATCTGAGGTCTTTTTTACTGGCAAAAATCTGCTACGTGGAACATTTATACCTATAATACAGTTACAATATTACACGATAACAAAAATACAAATTAAAAGCTCTACAATTAATGTAAACCAGATTTCTTACCGATACTTCCATCGAATGATTTCATCGCAGCTCCCACAGCTGTTTCTAATTGAATAATGTTCAGGCCATTTGAGAAAGTCTTATTATTAACAATAATCTCCATGTTTAAAGAATTCGATTCAACTAGCCTCTCGATAGCTGCAAAATAATTGAATACACGTGAAAACTATCCGCTGTAAGATTAAACGAGGTGATACATACCGCTAAGCTTGATCCACAAATTATTCGTATTGAAGAACTTGAAAGTTTTCACAGACTTAAAGTCATCTACATGATCTTTTGGGACTTGTGCGATTTCAAGAAGGCGAAGCTTATCTTCATATTTAATTAGCGTTCCACCCTACGAATACGATATATAACGACAATAGAAAATAATAAGGAAAATACAAGTAAATAGTCTTTTGTATTTCAAAGTTCTAAACTCTTTGTCTTTACTGGGAAATTTGTTTACCTTGACATCAGCGCGAGTCTTATCGGTAACTTCCATAACGAATTCAAGGGGTGACGTTTCGCGTTTGTCCAATAATGATTTCAAAATTTTGAAGTCAACAGTTGCGCCAAGGTTATCAATGTTTGAAATGAAACAATACTCGCGACCCTGCGAAAACAATTCACGCAAAAGGATTACTATAAACAACTGGCTATTCTAACTTGTGTTACTATAAATTATTGGGAAAGAACGTACTTCTTTCAAAAATTTCTTCAGTAAACCTGAATTTCTGAAGCTTTCATAGAAATCTCCATGACCAGGAGGATACCATCTATGGACAAAGCATAAAAGTTCTTATCCATTACTGTGACACAATCGCTCAAGAGAAAAATATTTTTATTGTTATTCTTACGCTTCAATGTCTTCCGCAATATCAGTGTGTTTCGCAATCGGGAGTAAAGAATCTCTATTGATGCGAGGATAACAGCTTTGATTAAACGTATAAATATCAACATCTATCCCTTTGTACTTCCTGATAATTCGTTGCGTATCATCATCGGTATTAAAAGAATCCATTAAAATCAGAGGTACATTGGCATTATAAGTTTTGTTCAAATACTGTTTACAGACAAAATCAACGATTAAATTTCTATTTACTGAACAGGAAGATCATTTTAATCGTCAATAACATTTGACCGTGTACAGGTTACATAAATTACCTCGATCTGCTGAACAGTAAGATCAAGAAATGTGAGTCCGTTACGAACAGCTATCACAGACTTTGGTCCATGGCATCCCATACTAGTTCCCAGTCCACCATTCAATTTAATAACAACCAATTTATTTAGAAGGGCTCTGGCTTCTTCTCCGTCCGGGGTTGGCAAAATATTGTAATCTTTTATCTGCAATGTTGTTCAAGTTATATTTGACTGAGTGCCTTTTATCCGTATTATCACAACGATAGTCACAGTTACGATTTAACCACTTCACTGATTCAATCAAAGCTGAATATACACTATGTGCAATCAGAATTTCTCAAAAGAAAAAGAGAAACGTAGGTTCCACTAGCTCACCGCGTCTTCTGGAAGTTTCTGTATGCGATCCCATTCTAGCGATGGACCTTCCTCTTGGAGGAAACGTTGGAACAACTCAGTGAATCCGTTGAAATTGCGCTGCAGATCCTCCTTCAGTTCCCCTGGAGGCGTAGTGTCCAGAAGCTTTTCTAATTCCTGTTGCAGCTCGATCAGGGCATCCCGCTTGGTCCTCTCACGAAATGCCTGTGTATCTGAGGGACTGCGTTGATGACCACGTGCCTGCGGATTTATTTACCAGGGGGCAGTAGAATAAAAATGATAAATACCTTTCCCTTTGGAGAGTAACGTCGCCCCACCATTGCCGCAGTTTAATTTTGTGAAATTGTGCATGGTGACGGTTTATCGTTTAATTCGTTTTCTTTTCGTTTCTTTCAATCTCTATCGGAGGAAAAGAAAATTTTTGGTCAAACTCGAGGCGAATCAAGCGAATCGAGCGAATCAACGACTCCCTGTCCCCTGAATCATTCTAAACGTTGCTCCGGTTGCGATTCTTTTTTTTACTTCGCCGTTTCTATAGCTTTTCCTTTGTTTTCCATAGAGCGAACACGTTAAATAAATTCGAATTGAAATGAAAAATTTTAAAAATAAATAAATCAAATAAAAATAAACGATCTCGAAGATCTAGAAAATGAACAATAATTTCGTTGTATTCAATTGTACATTTTCCATATTTAATATATTTAATATAAACAATACTCTAAACGGACCAGCAGATTTGCATAACGATTAAGCAATGATTCCTCTGAGGGACATTGCTCGTCACCCGTGCCTATCTCTTTCGAACCGACTCGAGATAACGAGTTCGTCGAAAAAGAATTTTCCAATTTTCCATACAATTACAGATTAGTCGACGGAGGAGTGTTTCCTCCCCCCTACTTTTATCCGCGACGATAACAACGGACGGAGAAATACTAGAGAAATATTTAGATACCCTATCATCATCGCGCATGCAGCAAATAGTAATTAATCTCAGCGAACGAAACAGATCGTTATTAACGCTAGAACTACCGAGCATTTAATGCGATTAATATGCTCCCAGAAAAATTCTAACAACAGATTATTTCCAGTTTCTTCAGGCATTCATTATGGTACCGAAATGAAACCATTTTCAAAATCATTTCGAATATTCGATGCTTCGAAGACACGAATCATTGCTAAACAAAAGAATCGAAACCAGTCATTCCGACTAGTTCTAGTGTTAATATTATCAGCATTAACGACAATAGCGATAACGATACAACAACGACGACGACGATGACGATGACAATTGAAATAAAGTCTAGAATTTCTATCGTATCTGGATTGTTTTTCAACCGAACTATCAGGAAATAACGCGAATTCACACTGGCCTGCGTGCAGACTCGATCATCGCTGATAATGGCCGTGACCAGCAATTTTCTATTTACTCGACGAGTGCCTTTAATAATTACAAGGAATCCCGAGACAGACGTGCTCGTGACAATACGATTTCCATGGGAAATATAACGGTCTTGAAAATTACTTAATTCTGCTGCGCGAAGCTGCCGCGAACAACCGTGATAAGATACTTGACACAGGAACTGCCGGACAAATGGAAACGACCCGTTTTATATGATTTATCTGATGACTGTTCGAATCACCGGTCGTTTCTCCTTTTCAAATTCTATTCTTGAACAGCGATTAACTTCGGTGCTCGCTTAGTTGATTATTCAAATCCGAATAAACGTATAAATATATTCTGTACAGTGTTTAAACATTGTATTATATATTTCGAGCAACATCGACAAACGTTTCAAGAAATCTCGAGGGGTGATTTCAACCCTCCGTTAATGCTAGAACTAGAGGTCAGGATCGGCCATTCCTGACTGCTTCCTCGGCTATCGTCCAATGATTTAAAACGACAAACAATTCGGAGAGATCACTAGAGAAATCGCTTCGGTAACAAACTAAATTGTAAATCGGAAATCTCGGAAAGTTTCGAAAAATTCTTATCCATTTCAATTCCAAAAACTACAGATCCCCAACGTTTCCCACGCGTTCCCGCGGTTGCAAGCGCGAAGTATTTCCTCGTAGCATTAAAACCGAATTGCGTCACCCAACGAAATCTAACCAGCGTTACAAAAACGAGCCGAAAGATCGTTCGTTTAACACTCGATTCATTTACCGTACAGTTCGTCCTATCCTTGAGAAACCGACGTTCCTTTGAATCTTTGAAATTACAAGTTTAACCCTTCGAACTCTGTTATAACATGAAACATTTTAAAGAACCTTAAAGAAACTACCCTAAAATTATTCGATTTCCCACTAAGAAAGAAAATCGAAGATCGAAGAAACGTTATATCTCTAATTTTCGCTGAGAATACTATAAAAATTAGTTGCAGTTAGATTACAAAACAACCCGGAGTGCTAAGGGTTAAGTGTCATCGATGTTTATAAAATTCAACGTAAGCGAACGTTTACAACGAGGGAATCTATCGTTAAACGTGCGATCTCGAATCGTCCATCGAAACGATCTGCACGGAGACGAAGCTCGAACCGATGCCCTCGATGACTCGATCGGATCTCCGTCCAAGTGGTGCGGTCGATCGAGCCAATAAATCCGTGACTCTCCGAACATCGATCGACCTAGAGTCCGACGAAGAAGACACACCGTCGCGAACTCGATCGAAACTCGATCCACGTTCGCGGCGAGTCCCTGAATTCTAACGATTCCCTAACGCGATCACCGCGAGACCGGAAACAGCTGAAAATCTACCTAAGCTCGCGGCGAACACTGATTCACGGGGGCCGTCAGGCAGCCGATCACTCCGCGTGACTGGTGTGCGTGTCACGGCACCAGCAGCTACGAACAGCAGCGTGTGTCTCCGCGCGAGCCAGCGAGGAGACTCTGAAGAGTGGACTATCGGCCGGCACTGTGTTCTAGCCAATTGATTGCCCCGTATTATCAGGCCCCGGCCGGCCTTCGGCAGCTCTCTTGCTTTTATCATAACCGGGCAACGTGACTTCGCAATCGTCGCTTCGCGTCGCGTCGCGTCGCATCGCGTAGCGTTCTCGGTTATTTATCGGAGACGATTCGCGGGATCGCGTTCAACGGCGGGGTCAAACGGCCGCAGGCGTTAGGATGGATCCCTTTTCGGACCGTGTGGTCCTCGCGGCTCTTAGGAGATCGATGATAGCGCGTTCAGCGATGCGTCGATCGGTAGCGACTGACGCTACTCGATGATTATCGCTAGAACTACCGAGCATTTAACCCTTTGCACTCGATTGGTGCATCAAAATTGTAAAATTTCCTATTTAACATTATGTCTTGAGTAATCTGTAATTATTTTGTGAATAGATTCCTCGTTAAGTTAGTTGAAAGAAATGTGATCTGTATCTCATCAGAATAAATTGAATATTTCTAGTGAGAAATTTTTCGATTAACTAATTTTTTGATTATTAATACGATTAACCCTTTGCACTCGATTGGTGCGTCAAAATTGTAAAATTTCGTATTTAACACATTGCGTACTGGTAACGAGAAATCTCGTTTTTATATAAAGACACTTAGCTATGCGACTTCGCTAATTACCACAGCACTGAATAAAATATAAAATTCGATTCGAATCGATTATCTATTTAAAATAGATTACATAACAATATGATATCTGAGTTTCTCTATGTATAGTGTTATAAGTTGATCTCAATGAAAATTGCCATCTGCGCAATTCAGTTTTCTGAAAATTAGCCGGTACGCAATGTGTTGACATTATGTCCTGAGTAATCTGTAATTATTTTTTAAATAGATTAGTTAGTTGAAAGAAATGTCATCTGTATCTCATCAAAATAAATTGAATGTTTCTAGTGAGAAATTTTTCGAGTGCAAAGGGTTAATACGATTAACCCTTTGTACTCCGTTGGCTCTGCTATAGAGACATAATTTGTATCGCAGATGTCACGTTACGTTAATCTCAAGTTGTAAAATTCTTCTTCCTGTTCGAATATGGGAAATCGACGGAACGTATTAAAAGACGTGAATATTCTCTATAAAAATGAACTATCAAGGCATTCGAAATGTTCGGAGTGCAAAGGGTTAACCCTCTGCGGACGAAGATTCTTCGAAATGTGCGAGACCTCCGGCAGATGAAGTTCAATTATATATCGATCGCTTAAATAATAGAAAAAAAGGTAATTATACACTGATCTCTTGCTGTTTGAGTAATTGAATCATTCGTTTGCCACTTACTTTTCCAAACATGGACATTTCGTCTCGCCGAAATGTCGATATCCGTCTGCAAAGGGTTAAGCGAATTTTCTCGAGCACTGAACGAAAGTAGTCTCCATCGACTATAATACTTTTCCTTCGAATTATTCAGTTTTAGTTTTGTTGTCGCACGCTTAGAACTGGAACAACGTAATGCTATTGAAAATTTAGTAACGTGCAAGATGATCGATGCGAATTTTCTCGAGCACTGAACGAAAGTAGTCTCCATCGACTACAATACTTTTCCTTCGAATTATTCAGTTTTAGTTTTGTTGTCGCACGCTTAGAACTGGAACAATGTAATGCTATTGAAAATTTAGTAACGTGTAAGACGACCGATGCGAAATGAAAATGTTTCACCGTTTTCCCAAGCAACGAATAAAAGTAGTCCATCGGTTCGTAGAATCGGATGAAGCTTGTTCGTTTCTTTTCCTTCGAATTATTCATTCTTAGTTTCGTTATCGCACGCTTACAACTGGAACAATGTAACGATCGTGCTGTTTGAAGTTTGTCTTTCTCAAAACAGAAAAGCGTTAGACCGTTTCCGAATTGAAACGAAAGCGCGCGTGATAAGAATGCAGCCGTTGAGATTTCAATTAGTTGTTCAATTCATGAATCGAAGAATTTAGGAATGCGTTGGTTTCAGCCATTCGGTGGTTCTGCTAATTTCTAATATTTGCAATTGGATTCGCTGACTAATTTGCTATTGACACGTTGAATGTCATAGGGGTCACCGGTGACCAGCCAAATCGAATTATTACAGTTCACTCGGTTAATCCTTTGCACTCGAAAGTTTCTCAATGGAAATATTCAACATTTTCTGACGAGATACAGGTGATATTGTTTGAAACTAATTTAACGATAATTCATAGACAAATTAAGCAACAGAGGTATTTCATTTAAATACTTCACGTAGCAATGGAAACTTCTATTTGAAATATTAAATGTTCAACTCGATAGTTTTGTTGTATCGAATCATGTGAGTCACCTCTCGAGTGCAAAGGTTTAAACTATGATTATTCGAAGAACACAACAATAACAATGCAATCCGATCGAATGATTGAATATTATATCTTTAACAATTTATTTCGCTCTACGAACTGGTGCGTCAATTTAATTGTTAATTGTCGGTTCTAAATTTGTCGAATTCAATTGAACATTTTCGCGAGTCCAACTGGATATTATGGGAAACGAGGTTAATTAGATCTCGCACCGCCATGATAGTCACCGGTGACCGTAGCTTCCAAGTCACTCGATGACGATCCCAACGAGAAGATCATTTATGGGAAGAAATAAGAATCCCCTAACGCTACATTCTCAACCCTTTGCACTCTGCAGGCTGCAATATTGCACCAGTTATAATATAAAATATTTTAATGAATCTTAAAGAAATTACCCTAAAATTATTCGATTTTCCCCACATCGAAATTTCGCACTAAGGAAAATAAAAGAAATGTTATAGTATTTTTGATTTTCGCTAGGAATACTACAAAAATTAGTTGCAGTTATTATTAGTTTTCTTAAAATTCAATATTAAATTTTCTATAATCTACCAACACACGGAACATCGAAATAAACTAGTTCTGTCGCTTAATTTACACAAGGTATCTCTTTATGTTAGTTGTAAAACATATCATTGATATTTCATCGGGAAATAATGAATAGTTAAGTCTCGGTGATCTTAATGATCTAAGATCACTGAGTCTCGAGTAATCTGTCGATACGTGAAACGTGGAAATAAAATATACCATTGTTCCCATTATTTTTCCAACAGATCCCTCGTTAAGTTATTTAAAAAAAAAACTATCATCTGTATCCGATAAAAATAAACCGAATATTTCTAGCGACAAATTTCTCGAGTGCAAAGGGTCAACACGTTAAACGCCATGTCAGCCACTGGTGACTGACGCTTCTGAATGACTAAAAAACAATCGTAACATACAAGACAACCGATGCGAAATAAAAATGTTTAATAAGGCAACTAAGTTGATAACAGTGTAACGCAAACGTTGCAACGCCAAACAATTCATAAGTATTCCTACTTTTCTTTGCTACAAAAGACAAACTCTATGGGAAAACGCTTAAGATTTTCGTGGCGCTTAACGTGTTAACAATTCTATCTCGATATCATCGAACAACGACGCGCCGGAGACCAAGGTATCTTTCTGTAATTGCGTCTGATACAGCTGCGGACGGAATAATACCATTGAATCGTTAATCATCATCAGTCGGATCTATGAACTTTTTCGAAGAGAGGGACTCTGGTGTGTTCCGTGGCCTACGTTCTAGCCGTTCGACGAGATAAAACAGTGGTTCGTTTAGTCTCGAATTTCATAAACCGAACCGATCTCGATTCAGGAGGTTATCAATCCTCGGAAATTTAGAAATTTAGATTATGATGGATTCACGTGTAATCGCGAATACGCGACGTTATTTCGTTATATCTTCCGAGGAATATTACTCTCATATATACACACGTATATATACATACATATATATATACATATATGCATAACCTACAATGCCATGCATACATAGCTACATACGTAAGTAATTGGCGCGCAAAATATCTCCGAATCTAATCTGCGAACAAGAAATTCATTTCACGATATCAATTTATCTGTTTCTTTTTTCGTGTTGTTTTTTCAACGAATACACCGGCTCGATCGTTGAATTTCGTTGGCCGAATTCCGTTGGTCGTATAAGTAATTAAATGTATCAACATACCGCATTAAATTTGAATTATTTCCTCCTATCTTGCCGTCTATGTGTAAAACGACGAACATTTATGTATGCGTGCACGTACAAGTGGCTGGCGAAGAGACACACGCACGCCTCGCTCATGTATGTTTACCGATGGAAGCAGCTTCGACAGTCAAATGAAGTGTAACTGGAGACTGGCTTACGTAATAACAATCTAACGATACGACATTAAATCGTTATGCTTCGCAAATGAAGAAACTCTTGCACAGTTATTTCAATAAAGAAACATCTTTCCTCGGTTCAATGTTTTCCTTTTCTTTTTCTTCTTTTTTAATCTTTCTCTCTCGCATTTCTTACGGACCACTTTTAGAATCTTATATATTTTTACTCTAATATCTCTGTTTCTTCGGAGATTAGAATATCATTATTTTCTCGCGACTTTTAATTTCGTACTTCAGACACGTAGCATCGGTTAGTTAGGTTAAGTTATTTTTCTTTTCGACCGGTGCTGATATTAATATATAGACAATTAACGTTTATACAATAATAATAGTAGTAGTAGTAATAATAATAATAATAATAATAATAATAATAATAATAATAATAATAACGTTTAAATATTATCAGTTGATATATTAAAACGTACCGCCGTGGCATCCAGTAATTGACAGATTAATTTTCGATCGTTAATATCGCGTATCGTGCATCGCGAATCGTTCGATGTATTATTTCTGCAATTTTAGCTTTAGAATCCTATTTTTAGTGGACAGATAACCTTCTGTTCTAAAGAGTATTACATATACACGCGCACGATACAATACATACAGCGCGGCGGCATGAATAAGATATTTATTTATGAATTGACTATGTTTAATATTTACATAACCATCTCCGCGCCATTGAACTAAATGTTTCAGGAAGAAACCACTTGAACGAAATAATTTATATCATTTTTAGAAACCGTAGAATGAATCACGACAATATCCCATCGATCGCAGAAACACGGTCTTAATAACGTATTGTTCACAAAAGGATGCGTAACCTGAATAAAGATGGGAAATAAATTACATGTGTGGAGACGGGCGAGGATGGGGGGAGGGGGAGTGGTAGGATTAACATAAATAATGCATTATTTGTAATGCGTCGATCGAAATGGTGTTCGACGTTGTTTGAAAATCTCGAGTATTTAAAACGTCAAGTATCCAAAAAATAAAAATATACCGACAACGTGGATCGTTCAATTCTGCTGATATCATTCAGATAACATAAGACCCGATAAGAAATGTAATGACACTTTACCTTTCTGTCATCTACCACTTGCAGCATCGTTATCGGTTGCTTAGGTCCACCGCGATTTGCTTCCTAACGTGCTCGACTTTTGTAACCTGGCAAAGGTTACCAAAAGGTAAAGCTTCTTCGTTTTGGATCCAAGCCACCGTGTTTGGATTTTGCTTGTACACCTACTACATAGAACAGTTGTGTACTCAATCCGCGGATCCCGTGGCTCCTAAGATAGTACAGACACGTGTACATCCTGAATATGCAAGATGAACATGCGTATTTAATTATACAGATGTGTATATAATATATATTTAATTGCAAAATTACAATATAAAATGTGACTTTGAATAAATATCGACAACCAAATCGTACGACGTGTAAAGACGTAAAAGTTAATTTTACTGTTTTCTTACTTGGTACTTGTACGAGCTTGACAATTATTACGATAATTCTGGAGGGAAAAAAGACGGTAAAATTTGATTAACAATCGTGCAATTTACAATGATGTACGAGAGACAATTGGCAACGCGAACGTAGCGCCATCTATTTGCGACTAAACGAAACGGTTAAACGTTCTGGATCCTTCTTGGCGGGTACTGAGAAAGAATGGCGTCGTAGAGGAATTTTCGCAGCATTTTGAAAATAATAGAAGAAGAAGTGAAATAATACTGTGAGAGATACATTTTCGATCGATTTTACAACGATTAATGCGAGAGCTGGATAATTGTTCGAAACATTGTTTTGAAGAGAGATCGTTAAAGATGGCGGAAGTATCTGTAAACACCGACGGAGATGCGTGTTCTCCAGCTAAGAAAGCTAAATTGGAAACGGAAAATACATCTGAAAATGTGAACAATTTATACGACGTTGATATTTGTTTGTCTAATTTTGAGGTAACGAAAATATTAGATAACAATAACTCGAGAAAACAGATATGCGTTCAAGGTGTTTTCAAAGGACACGAGGGTCCAAGCATTATTATCTTTGAAAAATCGCAATTTTCAGACGATCCGCTGTCTTTGCAAAAACAGTTGTTTAATAAAGAGACAACGCTAGAAAAGCTTTACAGTAATGATATTTATGGGAATTACAACTGTACGTCGTTTAAAGACAGCAATGGTACGTTGTGAATTCGTATCGATAACATTCGCATTCTCTTGTTTACTTATCGAATACCTCCATGTTATTTAAGGTTTACATATGAGACTGATACATCCTGCGACACAGAAGCATATCGACAAATTTAAGAAGAAGGAATTGCATATCGTAGATGAAACTTATGAAATTTATAAGAAAGTTACTCTACCGCATATAGAATCAAATAATTTCTCTTTACAGGTGTGTAAAATCGGGAAACAAATTTGTTGAACAACACTGTATATACTTTTTCATAGAGCAGAAGTATTATATATGAATTTGTATGAAATTTTTAGTGGGTATATAATATTCTAGAGCATAAAGCGGAACAAGAAAATATCATATACGAGGATAAAGACGAGAAGATTGGATTCGTATTGGTGAATGATTTAAAATGGAACGGCGAGAGAAACACTTTGAAATTAATAGCTCTCCCATTTCAAAGAATTCAATCTATGAGAGAGCTGAACGCGTCTCACCTTCCGTTGTTAAAAAATATTAGGGATGCTGGGATCAAGGTGATCTCTAAAAAATTCAATGTACCTGCTTCTCAACTTAGAATATATTTCCACTATCAACCGTCTTATTATCATCTTCACGTGCATTTTTCATATTTAATGTTTGAAACTCCAGGTACAGTACTTTCTATAAGTTTCATTCAGTATATATATATATATACTTATGATAATTCTTAATTATCATTACCGATACTTTGAATATTTTTTTTGTGTAGGTATATACGTAGAAAAAGCACATCTTTTATCCATGGTTATAAGAAATCTCGAATTGATGCCCGACTATTATACGAAAGCTGTGCTTTCATTCGTGGTCGTTGCGGGTGATCCGTTATACAATAAATATCTAGAAGAAGGAATTTTGGCCAAACAAGAATCAGAATCTAACGAGGTGAAAAGTAGCTAGGAGCAGCTAGGAAAGAGAATATACATTCAAATGATATATATATTTTGTATATGTTAATACATGAGAAGAAAGACAATGCATATTGGCATTATAAAAACAAACATTTGAAAATTCCTATTTATGATCCTTGTAACCTTGCATCGTGTAATGATTGTATATGTAAATATGCATTGTTATTCTTGTATGCAAAGTAAATAAATGTCGTGCACCTCTGTATCAAAAAATTATCTGTGTTATCCTTAAACCAATAACATAAATAACATGAGAATTATTATTCTTTTATCAAAATCTACAAGACGTTACTCTCCTGTTTACTTTTATCGAAAACTGGCAGGTAGAGAGGTAGAAAATAGATGAAGCAATAATAATCAATGTGTACACCGTAATAATTTAATCATATTAATCACAATTTAAACACATATCGTTGTACAATATTTACTTTAATAAATATTCCTATCGTATTGCAAAGAGAAAAAGAATCTACTAACTAAGTCGTCCGGGGGCTGTCGACGATTCTTTTCCTCCGAGATTCGTCTAACCTAAATGTAAATATATACCATGGCTGCTGCCAATAGAAAGTTAATAAATTAATATCAATCCCTATGTACAACAAAGAACGATACATTGCTAAGAAATATTCTCATTTCGAATGAAATGTTCCTTCCAGTCCACGGAAATACCACGCGTCACCTTCGAGAGGAGAGCGATTAGAGAGCTATGTAATTAGAATAATTATTTTGCAATTCTTGTAATTATTTCTCGCAATGCAAGCAACATGGAGGATAGAACATGTACGATTAGATTAGCCAATCTGTAAACGTAAGTGTAAAAGCGAAAACAGAAAAACAACAAGAACAGGCAAATTTGTTTTACTTATTAACCAAATTGTTGTTAAAAATGATAAATATTTACCTGAGAGTTGCCGGTGATATAAGTTATTTAGAATTTTTTCGAAGGAGAAATGCACGTATGAGAAACAATGATGCACGAAGAAGTCGATCACCTGGTTAATTAACTTCTGTGCGAAACGCAAAGTTTAATTAATCTTTCTGTAGATTGAAGACACATCGTACAGCTAAGTGTCGAGAGAAAGGGTCAAGGAGAATTTCAAGATTGTTCGTAAATAATAATTATTAACTAAAAGGAAATTCCATTTCTCTTTCTCTGTTGCTCTTACACATATGTATATATATATGTTTACACAACAGTATACGTAGTATGTATGTAAATTACATTAGACTTTTTACCGTGTGTGGTATGTAACGCGAAGTCATTAAGCGCTAATTCTCGACACCGTTAATAATTACATTCGTTTCTCCGATTTCTTGCAGCGTAAACGAAACCATCGAATTATTTACAAAACTGTGACGAGATTAAGACGACACTCGTTATGTATACTAAAATATTATATTTATTATGTATGAAAATATTACCAAGTATTTCAGTTTCTATTCTCCCGTATGCGTAAACATGACGTCATCCGTTACTCATCGGATCGCGGTTACAAGATCGAAGTTTTTACATGAACGGGTAATTATTATTCGATTAGCTTTATTATTTCCATGATGTACAAAAAATAGCGCACAAACAGGGAAAGGCTTGAACC